CTGCTGTACAGAGGCTGGCTCTGTCATCGCAGTATCCTCCTGCAGGTCTGGGCCAGCTGGTGCTCCCTGAAGCCATCTCTCCTCCAGGCTGAGCAAGCCCCTGTCCCTCAGCCTCACCTTGCAGGACAAGGACTCCAGTCTCCACCCTCTTGGTGGAACTCCAAAGAACCTGCTCCACTGTGTCAACATCTTTCCTGTATTATGGGAGCGTCCAAAACCAGACACAGCACTCGAGATGTAGTATACCAAGTGCCAAGTCAAGTGGTATCATCACTTTTCTCAATCTGGTGGCTCTGCAGCTTGCCAGGACAGCCCAGGTTGCTGTCAGCTGCTGTTGCTGCCAGCTCGCTGCCTGCCTGGCCACCCCTGTCCCTCTCCTCAGAGCTGCTCCCCTGCCTGTCAGTCCCCACCTGCACTGCTCCAGGGGTTCTGCCTTCACGGGTGCAGGACAGTATTTGTCCTCACTGAATTTCACATGGCTCCTGCCAGACCATTTCCCCAGCCTGCCTCAGTCCCGAGGGATGGCAGCCTTGTTCCCTCGGTTCCATGCCATCTGCAAACTTGACAAAAGCACGCTCCATCGCCTCCTCGGGGTCAGAGACAGAGGTAAGGTCACTTTGCCCTCGTACTGATGCATGTAACAAAGCCATGACCAAACCATTTATAGAAACTTGACCCTACAAAGAAAGGCAAGACGAGGACTAAATCTAGAAACAACACTAGCAACCACACTGGATATAAGGTCAGCTTGGTCTTACTGAGGCCAACAGCAAAACGCAGCACTTGTATCAGTATTTTCTCCTTAAACAGAGTTGTAAGGGTTAAGATAAAACCAAAAGACTAACCTACAACTATGGTTTATTTCTATAACCCCAAACCTTCCTGAAAGTTAGAATATAAGCAAACATACATTTTGCATTCAATATGGTCTCACATATTTACACACTGCAAAATATATTCATATCTATAAAGATTTTTCAACCACACAAATACGTGCTTGCTGTCAAATACATGCTTGCCATTAATGATATATTCCTTCCTTGTGCTTTTCAAGGGGACATCACATTTTGTCATTGACTGAACAGTCCAATCTATAGTTTACAACAGAGTTTCAGGTAAACTTCAGCATCAGCAAAAGTTCTGGATTTGTTTATATCACCTACAGTGATTTCTTTACAACATGTAATTTCTACCCATTTATGTAGGTCTCTAATTCAGTCACAGGTAATATAAGTTCTAAAATGAGGCTGTTGCAGAACCAGAAATATTTTAAACAGATTTATTTCTAATTGACTAGATTTCATGTTGATTGTAGTCTTGTAAGACCTGATTAAGTGAATTCATTACCATTTATAATTTCATGACAGCATACTTTGGAGATTCCAGCCATGGAAATTATCACAGTCTAATCAAGATATGCAAACCAAATATGAAAGCACTTTAAAAAATTCTTGACTGAATCATGATATATAAATATTCCTAATGAAAAAATGGCATCTCTTGAACTCCAGGCATACTACTATCAGTTTCTGCCATCAAGAAAGTATTTAGTAAAAGTTCTTACTAAACACTCCATAGGTACCAAGCAGCTGCTGATATGGGGTTTCACAGTCAAGCAGCCTTTGTGATGGCCACCTACATGGGCCCCCATTTCCCTAGGAACAAAGACAAGTGATGCCCAGGAATACCAAGCATGAGAAGACTCCTAGTTTTCCATAAAACAGGCACTGGGGTGACCCTATCAGATGCACCCTTGGCTTTGCTTAACTTCTATGTTGCTGCTCAAATACTTCCACGTGTGTTGCTAATCTGAACAATTTCTATGCAAAGCTCATTTCTTAACATATCTGTTGATGCTGTCAGAGCTACCTATCCCTGCACCTCATTATAAAAGAGCAACGTCTAGGCAGCTCTGCTTACTGTGTGATGCAGCTGTGAAGGGAAGGAAATAATTAAGCCCATCATGTGAACCAAATCCTTCAGGACATACCCATTAATGAGATTTACTGAACCCACTCTCTGCTTTGCCGCTTGCAGGCATGAAGGAGGCAGAGACAGAGCAAGAAAAGCCCTCTTTTTCAGCATTAATATAAAACTAGAAATATATTTTGTTCAATTCATACTTTTAAAGGAAAGAAGCATTAAAAGGAGATTTGCCATTAGGTTTTATGTCTGCTTAATGTTCTCCCACAGATTTTACAGATTTTATTTAATCTGCCCCACAGGTTTTTTATGTTGTTTTTTTTAATACTTGCCATCACTAGCTGCCTCACTTCCAAAGTTTTCCCCAGGCCTTAATAAATTTAAACTCCTCTTCTCCACATGTTTTTTTCAGCCACACAGGAAAAGTGACCATTTCTACTCCTTTCTTATACACTGGCATTTTTACTTCATAATTTTGACACTTCCGCTGTTTCTTCCTTAGGTCACTGGGGGCTACCAGCTCCTCCCCAGGTTTTTGTATGAGATTTTGTGTTGTCTCCTATCTTTCTGCCCAACAGAACAGGCCTCTCCCAGATGATGTCTCCCAGCACAAACCTGTGGCTATTAACGTGCCTGACAGCTGCATTTCCTACCATTATAGCTTGCCTTTTCTTGCCATGCAAGGCTGCCACCACACCTCTATGAGGCAGAGCTGCACCACTGCTGCCGTGGCAGGAGGATCAGGAATGGCCCTCAGACCATCTCTTCTTGGCTGCCCCGACCCACGAAGGTACCCAGGGTCTAGGGCTGGATCCCCTTCTAACCTGGGGAAGATTCATTAGATCATAGCAAGCCAGAAAGACTACATAAAAAATAACAGTTTGCTATATTAAAAATAATAAAATATATAATTACAATATTTTGTATATCGCAATAAAGGCTGTTAAATATCTATAATTATGTAATCTTAAAAAGAAATTAAAAAACCCCAACCCTAACCTAAAGACTCAAACCCAGGGACTGGTATGTGCAGCAAAAACTTATAGTAATATTACGAAAAGCACAGAACTGGGATGAAAGTTCTATTTCAGTAACTACTCAAAGCACGTAAAGTGCAGAGTGTTTACAGCCTGTATCAAACATCACTGTCACTGCTGGTTCACACTACGGAACAGCACAGCGTGCTCAGTCATGAATGTCTGCTTCTCACATCTGCACTGACTGGGACTGCTATGAATGTAAATGGGAAACAATGAAGTTAAAAAAAAAAAAAGACTGAAAAGGTAAGCAGACACATTACACAAGCACATCTATATTTTAAACTATATTTTAGTGTTTATACATTACCCAAGCTAGTTATGAGTAGCTGTTATTCCTTATGCTTCAGACTTACCTGAAAGGTAGTTCAGCCACACACTGACAAGGCCTTTTTATTTCCCACAGACAGCTTAGTATCAGTGAGCACATAATTTAAAAATTGAGCTACTTAAGTTTATTTCCCTGTTCTTAGAATTATTTCATACATTCCCTTTCACAAACCACACTTTCACACTTCCTGTATCCAATTCAAATATGTACATCCCTTACCAGGGAGTGACAGCATGGGCTCTGATGGATTCTTTTGGTCATGCCATAGACTAAAGACCAGCCTGACTCTTGAAAAGGCCCTAACCACAACTGCCAACTAGCTTAAGCATTTCAGATGATAAAACATAATTATGCACATCAACTCAACACAGTCAAATGCAATACTTAAAATCCAAATTTGCACACCTGTTTCTGTACCATTACCTTCCTCTTTTAATTGGCATAAGTACTTATCTTTGATAGTGGCACTACCACAGAAGCAAACAGCAAATGCCTGATAAGCTAGAAATTTTTGTTGAACTGGCCTTTGAGGTACACATTATTTTTAATCTTTCTCTTATTTCCATTTCTACAGACTACTGCTCCAAATTATACCACTTCGTGTCACCACACACTTTACAGCAATCCATCTCACACATTTTACATAATTTCTGTATTTTCACTCTCCTTCCAGTGCTCATCCAAAGATACTGTTAGGAGTTACTATCTTATCTATGATCTGTGTTCATAATGGACATTAACACAGACACGTGCAGCAGCCAGTGCAAGAAAAGGCACCTTCAGTTTCTCTTATCACAAAGAAAATTAGTTTTTTAGTTTTCAGATCATACAGAAGTATCAAGCTTTACCAAAGGAAACCTAATTTTAAATCTGTCCTTTTTCTTGTTTTGTGAGTTTAAAGTTTCTTTTTTTTTTTTTTTTTTTTTTTGTTTTGCACAAAAAGTTATGTCCCCTCCAGAGTACTACCAAAATCTTTAAAACTGTTTTTAAAAGAATCATAGAAAAGATTAAAAAAAAAAAAAAAAAGATAAATATGTAGAGACTAGAAACCTTTTTTGAATAGAAAACACTGAAAATGCTGCATTCAGATAGGGTAAAAGAAAAACATATAAGAAATACAGGAATATGCTTGTGCTATATCACAAAAGGCTCCACACCGACTCACTAGTGCATCAATCAGTTCTCACCTAATTGTATGACAAGAGCATTACAGTATGAACCCTTAAAAATTCTTTACTCAAATCTACTATCAGTTGCTTATTTAGAGTGTTCTCATTAACAAATTGCTCCTAGGAAAAAAAATAGGGGGTTTAACATGTCTAATACACAAAGTATTATAACATTAGTCTACCTGCTAGTTCATATTTGAAGTATATTCAGTAGGAGGAGGAAGAGAGTTGTTACACGTGAGGATAAAAGTTAACAAGATCTGCCAGCTGTCTTCACTACAGGCTACAGTTAAGCTGCAAATTCCTCTGCTCTGAGATCACACTCGTAATCCACCCAACACTGTAAAGCAGGATAAGGAACATTTTCCTTGCTGGGGATCAAGCAGGTTTTTCAAGAATTTTTGACCACCTGTTTATTGAAATACACCTTAGCAGAATCCAGCGGACATGCAATTGAAGTCCTGGGCTGTAACTGTAGATTTGCTCACCAACACGTGTAACTTAAATGATTTCTCTACAAAATTAGCTTGACACACTTACCTGTCAATATACAGATGAGAGCGATGGCATCAAGATGAGCATCAGAATTTAGCGCTCTCTCATCTCAGATTCCTGTAAAAAATACAGAGAGACATCAGGAAGATTGACACATGCAAGAAGAAATTCAGTTACCTAATGGCCACACGATTTAAACATTTAGAAAACAGAAACACTCAAGGCACGAAGGGGATTTTGATACATTAGTCTGCAAGAGAGACAGGAAGTTTATCACACTGCAAATTCCCAACATATTCATAATGCTGTAACATAAATATTATGCATAGTTTTGCAACAGAGGAACCTGATGTAACTTCAGCCACTGCAGAGAGCTTCTGGCAGCATCAAGTCAGGGCTAAGGCAAAAATAGGCTCTTTTGGTTATCTGACAGAAGGTGAAAGATGCTGCTCTGCTGTTTCCCACAGACATCTTCTTTGATTTGTCTTGGCAAAGCACTGGGCATCCCAGGCACATGCATTTGTTCAAAAACGCAAATTTGAGCAGCAACATGCTTGCTTTTCCCCCCAAGTTCACCTGTGATGCAGAAATTATGGTCCGCTGTTTCCAGCCCTCCAAAGAGATTCCCCAAATCAGCTGACCATGCGCAGCATCACAGGCCAGCTCTCGGCACAGGAAGGGGTAGCCTAGAGCTGGCTAACTTATAAGATCTGAAGTGTGCATGACTAGATTCAAATTTTATTGCTTTCATTGAGGGGTAGAAGCTGGTGCTGAAGAAAGTCTTGTCTATCATGTATTTCTTCCTTTTACAGACATGAAGAAGGGAAAACACCAAGATTTCCATTACAAAAGCAAGTCTGACAAACTTTTTTACTTTTTGGTGTACTCTAGTGTATGGTGCTCCATCAAAAAATAATACTAGATTATGTTACACCTGTTACTTCTAACCACAATAAGATGCCTCAACAGGCACTCTCTCTTAGACACAAGAGAAGTGTAAAGCTGTCATGCAACTTCAGAAAAAATACAAAACATGACCATAAGTGAAACTAGAATTACTCAAGGATAATTCTGTGAACATCACTGGCACTACACCATTTACCCCAATATAAATAAAAACTGACTTCACCTCAAATTCACCCCTCCTTATTCTATGCTTTATTAGACCCTTCTTACTGTGCACATTCAAGTAATAGTTAATATGTACATGTATGAGGAAACATTTAAATACTTTCAGTGCATTTAAGCCCATTTTTTATTTTAAATATAGACTTTGACACATTTTACTAAAAATAAACAAACCTATCCAAAAAGTTTTGAATAGGAAGAAAATACTTACAAATCTGTCTCCAGCACCTGCATAATTCCGCACAACTATCTTACAGCAGCAACAAAAAAAGCTATTGAAGGACATTTCCCACACTGAACTGCTGTATGGTGTACCATATAGAAGTAAGCTGCATTTGAAATTAAACAGAGTAGGTTTTCCATTTTTAGAGCGGGAGATATAAATATGATCACAATTGTGAAGGTCGTAGGAAAGTTAGGTAAGGAAAGATCATCAGCTTTCTCCTAAAGCAAAAACCAGAATCCATACAAGGAAAGAAGACAGCAGATGAAAAGCAAAGCACAATCAAGTAACTAAACTAACAGGTTCTTAATCTCCCAGAGAAGGAATCAACCACTTTCAGTTTTGAACTCTTAACACACACCAGCTTTCAGTTTCTAGATGGACCCAGAGGCAGAGGAGGAAGAACTACCTGGGACTGGATACAGCCATCATAGATGAAATTTTCCAAAACTGCCCTCAAATGCTGACACATCTACACAACATACTCCAAAACCAACCTTTGTTTAATTTAGGAAAGATTTATAACTTGGTCAGTTTTGGATAGATATTGCTAAGATTTACTAAAGGTATATCCGCAGCAATAGCCTGAACCTTAAGCAAATATTTTGGGACCTTGTTGGTAAACAATACAAATAACAAAGGCAACATAAATGTTAAACATTCAGCTACTAAATACCCCACAGAAACATAGGCTACAGAAACCTATTGCAGAGAATTTTTGCACTTCATCATGGAAGAGAGGAGAATGCCAGCAGCTTGTTCTGTGTGGAGGCCAAATTCTTCTATTTAAACAAATTACCCAGTAGCAAGAGTGCATTTTGTATTTTGGATGTTATTTTTCACAGTACTCTCCAGAGCTAACCCTAAGGATAAAAAAAAAAAAAAAAATAAACAAATCAACACGACAAACTGGCTTGCCAAGAGCTAGGACAGGCTCCTTAAATGAGAGTATTTCTATATTGCAAATTCATAGAAAACAAATTAAATGGTGCCAATACTGGCTTCTTAATGAGGCTGGGTGAGGCTGCACAGTGAAGAAAGGCACCGTCACTGGAAAAGTGAGCACTTGTCCTATCTTCTGTTTCTACAACAGGATTCCCTTAACACCCATGTGCAGACAAAAATTACTGAGTTTCCTCCCAGATCCTGTTTTTTCCTCTCCTCAAGCACAGGACCAGCAGAGCAGAAGCTCCTCTTTACCTCAGAGCCTCCAATGCGACCTTAAATAAATCTCTGTGCCATGAAATCCCTCGCACATCCCTAGCACTTCGACTGCAAAAGGTTTCTCTCATGTGTGGCTGGGCAAGAGCATAGCCGTGCACAGGCTCATCCTTCAGGTGACACACCAGACACCACAGGCAACGTGCCCTTCCCTCCGTGGGAGCTCCAAGGTGGGTCTTTACATCTAATCATCCTTTACATCTTTACATCTAATCTTTTTATCACAAAGATAAAACCATAACAGATTTCTGGTCCTTTAAAAACTTAGCTGAAGTTGAGCAGTAAATTCAAAAGCCACTAGAAAGTAGGAGATGGATAAGGAAGGAAGACAGACAGCAGCATCACATAAGCCATTTTCCTTATTGAATCATCCTAAAAACCACCAAACCATTGCTCCAAACCAGAGACAAATGGTAGTTAGTTATTTCCACGTGATTCAGTGCTGTACAGTGAGGAGATCTGACATTTTTGCAGTGTGCACTGTAGCGATAGTAACTCGGTTCAGGGAGCAGTGTAGCTGCAGCCATGCAGTATTTATAGTCCTCTCTCCTCAGCTTCTTCTTGCTGCTCCTCTCCCCCCCTCCCCAGGCAAATGCCTCCCCAGCGCAGTGCGCTGCAGCTGCTTCCACTGCTGGAGCAAAGCCCTCGCTGCACCCGTCTGCTGCAGAATGAACACTCCCGAAAGGACACAGGTCAAACCTTCCCCCACATCTGGCAAGTTTCAAAATTAGAAATTTTTCTAATATTTGTATGAATTTTAACAAGTGGAATGAAAACGTCAAAATTTTCACGGTGATATGTACATTTAATGAATCTTCTATACAGGAAGATAACCTTGTTTGAGGGCATTTCTCTTATGCCTAGGTGCACACCTAGCAAAGTAAAAGCTGCTAACTAGTAAGAGCTCAAGTAAATTCAACTACTGAAGTAGATAAGCTCCTGAGCAGACAAACATGCATTTATTCTGCCAGTATTCTGACTCACACAAACACAAGTCAACAAAAATCATACAACCATATTGGCAAACTCCAGCAAATATTTCTGCATAACTTCATAGCATTATTTCAATGCCAGTTTCTGTTTCTGAACTGGCTCCCAGCTGACCAGCCAGCTTATCTGCACAGATGTCTGCACAGCCATACAAAAATATCCATCTCTGGAAATTTATGGGGATGGCACAGAAAATGGATATACTGAAACACTCAAAAATGAAGCATTTGGGAGCATTCAACTACAGGATTAGCATGTTTTAATTAATAAAATTTCAAATGACAGATTTCATTAATTAATTTAGCCTTAACTTCTCTGAACACAAACAGCCTTTTCAATCTCAGTGCTATCATAGCATCCTAAGTGTTTTCTATTTTCATGTATACAAAAATATGTCATCAACACTGAAGACCCTCTCACTTGCACATAAACTCACATTAATAGCAGCTTCTGAAATCAAAGATAATCTATACATCACTTCTACAGAACAGGAACACCAGAAGGGTTCACATGACTACAGAATACTTTACACAACCCAGTTTAGTAAAAAACTGATGAAGCAGTTCTGTTAACCTACATGGAAGTACTAACTGCTGCTTTAACAGTACACTTGTATAATTTATAGAGAACTGAAGGCACTTTGCACTGTAAGGCTCCAGGCAGTCCTTTAGTAATACTCAGAGACTCCCAGACCTTTAATACTAATAGACCCCAAACACACACACTGAATTCTCCACTTTTTTCCCATATTAGACTGAGAGCTCAAATACTGAGGCAAGTACTAGAATCAAGGCTTCTGTCTCTGGCACATACGTACATGATGGATTCAAATGTTGCTTGAGAGAGACTTAATAAGCAAACCTGGTTTTATTCCAGCTCAGCAACAAACAAAGCAACAAGCTGAAAAATGAATTTAGCAAGGGAAGAGCTATCTAAGATTGAGACACTACTACCATCTAATTCTGCCATGATATAAAGCCAAAACAAACAAAGAAAGTCTCTTCACAAAGTTGAAATGTGAAAAGAATCAGGAAAACAGTTCAGGGAAGTGGAAAAATAGTTACTTTATCCATCAGGAGAGACCATATTTAGGCATATCTTTAAAATTCAGAACAGAAAGGACTCCACACGGACCTTTTTAGAACTAAATTATGAGGTCTACAGCTGCTTGAACGCTTACTGAAATGAATTCACGTATTTGTGACTCTCTTGGTTTTTTGCTATGCTCGACTACTCTAATCTTGTTTTCCTCAGCAGTCTAAACGTTAACAGCTTAAATGTTTGTATATTGTGTGGTAGCAGAGAATGGTCTTCAAAAATGCCAGATGCTTTGCAGCCTCAGATTATTCACTACTTATGGCAGCAAGTTCATGCTAGCAGCAAAAAACAAAATATAATTCCTCTCCAAATACAGACAATATGTACCGTTAATTTCATATACACTAAAGACACAGAGAACCTCCACAGTCCCACACAGTGCCTCTTCAAAGATATTTAACAGACACAGGAAAAATGCAACATCAAGAATCTGGGCAACAAAATATGCTAAAATGAG